GCGCCTGTATGTCAAAAGTGCAGAAAATTAGATCTGAGAATCTGCTTTAAAAAAATAAAGTACCTAATATGTAGTCAATTCAATATAGCTGGGTGCAGGCATCTTCGCTTTTCCGTCAGGATTTTTTTTGAAGCATCAAATAGTCAGTAATAAATGGAGCAGCTACAGCGTAATGAACTTATTTTAATTTGTTTACTTTAAATAAAATTCTATTGTGTATTCCTCAAAATGTTTTCCTTCACTGCCGAGCATATTGTAAGTCAAATTTAAACAGTGCTATTAACGATTTCGTTGGATCTGGCGGGGATCGAACTTGGCTTGTTCGCTTACTATACGGGCATTTATCCCCTGAGACATTCACTTTCACTATCTCCAAATTTAAAAAGTAATCTTATAATATGGTTCGACCGCTTTGAAGAGAATATCCATTATATATATTATAGCTTATAAATTATAAAAATCCACTGCTGAACATGGGCCTGCCACCTATACAGTGCCTCATAAGCGTGGCAATTGTCCACAATTGCCACTCTTGGCATGCGGGTTGGCAAACACAGCTTTTAATAACTTCTACTTACCATATATCGGAATAAGCTTATTCAGTGGTGTTGACAACTTCCTCTTTGCTTAGGTCAAAATCTATCAGATCATTATTTATTAAGAATCTAAATGATAACAAGGGCAGTGTGGTTAACTTTCTACTTAATGAAACAACGAGTTATCTAGGTAACAATATATTTTTGCCATCAACGACAAACTTAACAACAGACTACAACATAGATCTTGTCAACGAAACACCGGCGCGAAGTAGGTATAAACTTTGCGATCAAATATCAAATATTCTGAAATGTTTACCAACGCGTTAGTACTACGCTTGTCAATTACATGCATACACGTCACATAGAGATCAAATAAATGCAAAAAATAATGGACGGCTTGGAGATACTAGGATAATAGGATGCCGAAAGAATCAATACAAAGTCTTATTCTCGTATTGATTTATTGGTTTACTGTTGGTAAACAAATCTAGGTTGAATTGGGACATGTTTATAAACTGTACATGTTACATAAATATGTAAATATATTCTCGTAATAAGATTAACGTAGATAATATATTATCCTTATATTTAAATTGCTTTGAATTATTATGATTGATAAGTAGATAAAAGAATTGACTCCAATTAGACTCAATGATTGCTGAGTCGGTCTAAAATAATTCATTAGAATAACCCGAGGATTTAAGATCTTGTTGTTCATTTTGGTCACATAATATTTTCACAAAATTCTTAAATAACCGGGTCATCAGAAAAACTTACCATTAAAATATGACTCATAAAAAGCACCCAAAACGTGAATAATTTATTTGTTTAGCATAGGATGCACTTTCAATTATTTCTCAATGGTAAAAAACAACTTAAGTGTCAAATTTTAGTAAGAACTTCTAAAGTATTATAATTTTTTCTGTATTTAGTCTAGTTTTTAGTTTGTTAGCATTTATAGATGTAAAAAACCTGTCCGATCTGTGAGGATACTTTTTGATATTGTGATATGATAATGTTCAGATCAAAATAAAATTACCCGCGAAAAATAAAATTTTATGACAAAACTTACATGGCAAAATATGCGGTGCGGGCGGCCATTGTCGTCGACAAATGTGTTAAAAATGTGCTGATTTTTAAGCAAATTGTGATTCAAAACATGTACTATAAAGAAAAATTAACAATAACATTTTTATAGAATATGATGTGTCCTAGCGGTACTTTCCCTTTCACATCGGACAGTGTTCTTGTTGTTATACCAAAATATATAAAGCTATAAAATATTAACTTAATATCGGAAGATAAAATAAATAGATAAATGAAACCCAAATGGGAAATAAGGAACCGGCCTTCGGCAGAGAAGACCAAGCACCCGAGGCGAATTTATTTAATTTCTATTAATAAGAATGTGGATTGTGAAGTCTTTAATAAGAATTATAATTATGATTAAAATTTTTTTATATATAAACACAGAGTCGAAGCGCATCGAAGTGTCGCCATAGCATATTTATTATTTACCTCAAACTATAAAAATGCACAAATTTCCATGGAGACAAAACCCTTACATTTAATGCACAACAGTAGAACGCGATCATAAACGCATTCACAAGTTATCAATTTTTACATCAAATATTATAGTATTTTTGTAGTTATTGCTTATAAATATATAGATGAAACAAATAAAAATTGTAAGTTTCAACATTTTTAAAAGCATTTTTTTTCTATTTGAAGCCATTGAAAAATTGATGGAGAAGAAAGATTCTATAGTCAGCCTCGTACCAGCAAGTGAAATATAGGGCGGCCCTGCACTAGATGCAGTGACGACCTGGTAAGTCGATGTACACAGGTGACTCGGACCGTATTTTATTAAATTCCTTTAAAGATTGTTCTGTTCAGCAGTGGATATATGAAGGGCTGTGATGATGATAATACTTTCCGAGTCCTTTATGGTGGTATACTGTACAGAAAAGTTGGCAACCCTAGATGTGTGTGATGTATAATCAAAGTTTCAACACATACAGTCAACTGACAACTGCAAAATCCATCACCAGTCCTAAGATTCGTTGTCAAAAAAATACGTGTAAAGAGATGCTAATATGCGAGCTAAATAGCTCTACTTTACGTTGATTACGAAGAATTTGACGATTCTCTTCGATTCGACTCTGCGTATATGTGAATTCAACCTTATAGCGCCTAATGATGATCCAATAATATGATTTATATGACTTTAAAAAAATTAAGAAACTAAGCTAAAAAAACAGTAACAATACCGTCGTGTTTGTGGTTAAAGTAGAAAACGTTTAATCGTTTAAAAAATTTAAACGTTTATAAAATGTCTTGTATTTGACAGTTTTAACATAATCGGTATGTATCAAATTCTTATCTTAAAAGCGCATTATGTGGGGTAAAACATTATGCAGTACATGCATCTCAGTTATTAGAAATATCAAACCCGAAAGATGCCCTAACTTGAATATATTCACGCTTTAAATATTATAGTAAAGGGAGTGTTAAATGCTGTTTGGCACTAACTTTATTAAATATTTATTTTGTATAAATTCTATTTTACAACACATATAGTATCGATATTTACAGCTTAAGAGAACAGACACATTAAGGTATATTTACATCGGTACAAACCATTACATAGATATTTGAATAACGTTTGGGTAAAATTTAAAATTACAATTGCGGGAACGTGTACATAATCTACAGCTAGGTATATGTATATGTAAGCTTTAGCGACATTACTTGATAAACACATATATTATGTATTTATTTGAATTTGAAGGTACATTTGTGCATATAAATATAGTGGACATGTACGTGTTTTCTCAAAACATTCCTGTTTTAATTTTATTACGTTTTAATATTTCAATGCCCAAAATATAGATAACGCAACCACTAACATCTAACAAAACATTTTTAGATTATATTGCACACATTCGTTTTAAAATACAATACTATTCCTATTTTAAATAAAAGAGTGGGCTAAAATCCCTCTCCGCCATAATTTCCATAACTCACCGTTTACCTACCAATGGAATGACATATCCGGCGCATCTCCAATGTGGAATAAACTCCCTAAGCTGTCTGATTTATCCAATTTGAACTTAATACATTATGTGTTTCTAGAAAATCTGAAGTAATTCAACAAGTATAGTTAATTTTAAAGTATTCTACATAATTAGGTTATTTCAGTATTTTAAAATGAGTTTTTCTGTTTTATTGTCATAGGATATGTTTACAAACATGTAAAAATTAAAATAATGTGATAACAAAACTATATAAAGTGACTGTATTAAATAAAACAAAAAACAGCCTGCTTAGGAGTGCGCCGCGTGCTGCAAGCTCTGCTCTACTGATGACGACTGAATGAATAGGCTTTAGGGCTCTACTGTCTAGTTCTACCGCCGATACAACGATCTGGGATGAGATGTCCTACTGCGAGCCTTCGTTGAACCCAATACCCAAAGCAACTTTGATGGCACATGGATGACCACCGCGAGTGAAGTGAGCGCGTCGTATGAAAATACCTTATAGCGCACAGAACTAAGCTCTAATGGTTCCTGGTGAAAACTACTGTGAAAATGATCTAAAAATTTGAAATATTCCGAAAAATTTTAAACTTCTCATAGCACCATTGCCAATCTATCGAATATTAGCACAATTCGTACCGAAAACGAGCATCGTAAGATCTATGTTATCGTCATTTTTACAAGTCTAGATCTATTACATTAGGTGCAGAATTGTCCCTACAAATTGTCCTACCTGTAAAATTTTAGAGTGATCCAGATTATTACAATTATTGGTACCGCATGAGATAAGATTTATAAAATTCAGTCATCGACTACTGTAAGTTTATTGATTGCTACTTCTATAAAAATAAATAGTTTAAAATTTTAAAATTTTTACACTACCCAAAAACTCCCGCGTTATTAATTGGGATGTGATCGTTAGAAAAGTTATTTGCAATTGATCCTTGGGCAATGCTTATTTATATATTATAATTTTTCACCGCAAATCGTGGATTTATATAAAATTTAATTGCCTCCCTTGTGCCATTAATTTTGTATAGCCATTTTATTTACCTGCGTAATATCGCCGTTCTATATACATATTCTCATATCAGTCCGTTGCAACGTTGGGTCAGAAAGGGTTGTAACAGTTTTCGTCGTCGGTTAAGTCTTCCTCGTAGAGCGAAACATACTTTCATCGCTCACTCACCCACAACCGCCCGAAATACTCTCTCGCAGTTATTATTTCAAAGAGAGAATGAGAGATATAGAAGGAGTGCCGAGTTCTGGTTGTGGGAAAGCGAGACAAGACAGTACGCTTAGAAGAGCATGTGGCAGCGCAGGTTGGAGTTGGCTATTCCATGGTGTGTGCGGTGAGGTCGACCCCCAGCGTCGCGGTGCCCAGCGCGGCCGGAGGATCGCTGGCGGGGAGGGACAGTAGATGTTAGGCCTCCAAAAAAATCAGCGCGGTTGGCTTTGGCTCCAAGTTGGACTTTTTCGCTTCGACGACCAGAAACTCGATTTCCTGAAAAAAATATAAATGAATAAATACAACGATCGAACATTTTCGTTAAATGAGTTGGCAATGGTACTTTTAATTCATTGTCTTTTACTATGGAAGCTTTATGCTTTGAGAATTCGTGGCAGTTTATTTCGGTGGTTAACGTCCTGTACAAAATAGAACACAGGCGGTTGTACTAAATGGTTACTCCTCGTTATGGTAAGTATTCCCTCTGGCATTCCTCAAGGATCTTTACTCGGTCCTCTTTTGTTTTTTATTTATATAAATGATATTGGTACTTGTTTTTCTTACTCAAACTTCGTTTTATTTCCAGACGATATGTAAATTTTTAGAGTGTTGCATATATTTAACACAATGATTTGAATAGATTAGATGTTTATTGTAGGAATAACAAATTGGACTCAAATGTATCTAAATGTTTCTGCGTTACGTTCTCCCGTAAGCCAAATAATCTTTATTTTAATTATAAACTTAAAAATCAAATTCTGATGGATGAATAAATGACTTGGGAGTAATTCATGACAACAAACTATTGTTTACTCTCCATATAGATCACATTGTTTTTTTTATATAGGAGAGCGGGCAAACGAGCCCTTTTACAACACCAAGAGCATTGCAGGTGCTTTGCCGGCCTTTTAGAAAGGAGTAAGCTCTTTTCTTGAAGGTCCCTAAGTCGTATCGGTCCGGAAAATTCACTGGTAGTAAACTATTCCACAGAGAGGTCGTACGCGGAAGAAAACTCCTAGTGAAACGTACAGTGGTGGACCGTCAAGTATCCAGATGTTGTGGATGGTATCGGGAGTTTTGCCGCGATGTGCGTTCATGCAATTTGGCGGCTGGGATTAACCCGAAAAATTCCTAAGAGCACTCCTCTTCTCCACTCCTCGAGATGCAACATCTCTTCGCAGCACCAGTGAATCGATCCTATCGGAAAGCACTCGGTCGTCGATGATTCGAGCCGCTCTACGCTAGATGCGGTCCAGTGGAAGGAGCTGGTACTGGGGATCCCCAGTGCCCTCCAGGCAGAGGAGTGTTTTACCAACCGAACATGGAGCACTTATATCGCAGGGTGGTCGGCGGTGTGCTCCCTCCGTCATCGTGGGCCAGTTAGTCGTCCTCCATGTGCAGAGATGGAAAAGATGGCCGACAGAAGTTCCCCTCGGACAGCCTTGGCAAGAGACCAGAATTCAGGGGTTCCAGAAGAAAGGCGAACTAGTTTCTCGCCAATTCTGCCTATGGGTTTTGACCTTGCCTTGGCAATGACTCTTTTGAAAGACCTGGAGGCGGAATTATACTTCTTTTTAAGGGCGCTGGTACTTACATCCCGGGACGTTGATGCGTCAGCCCAGGCCCGGTAGCATTTCTGCTTAAAGCGTGATACTATTTTACAGGAGCGACTAAACCATGGCTGAGATCTGCATCCGATGAGTCAGATCGCAGCCATGGAATGGTGCGCATCGGGGCACTCTTCCGAACCTCAAGTACCACATCAGCGACAGAATTAGCAACAACATTGGCATTGTCCGGCGAGAAACAAACCTGCCCCCAAGGGTAGAATGCAAGGAAAGACCGCATCCTATCCCAATCGGCCGACTCATAGTGCCAAACATGGCGGCAGCCGCGATTTCACACATGAGTGGCACCACACTCTGGACTAGACAACGGTCCGAGGAGTCAAGAGGGGCGTCGACGGAAATTTTATAGGATAGGGTGACAAACGAGCACACAGGCCACGTAATGGTAAGTGGTTGCTGTGGCCCATAGACATCTACATCTATCCTCGATTACGAATCAAAATGCAGATGCGTTGTCACCCGTGAGGACTACGATGGAATTCCTCGTTTCCAGTAAAAAGGGTCTCCGATTCTCTACACTCACTACGAAACACAGCAGCATTAAGTTACTATTTTACGCTGGTATTCTGTGAGAGCGTGATCCTTTCCCGGTCGAGCCGACCCATTCCTGCTAAAACTATTCTACTAATATAACTAATATAAAAAAGGTCAGCAGAAGGTTTAACAGGGAAGGTGCATGATCCTCCACATCTGGAATCGGCGTAGGCGAAGTAACTAGCTGTGTCGTATACCATATGCCCAGACAATATCAATAACAAATCTCATCGTATGATTGGTTAAATGTGAACCGAGCCATTCCACGTGGTGGGCGTTAGGATAGCCGAGGATCACGATCTCTGCGGGTGGGATCTGCAAGCAATCTGTAGCTATTTGGACATGATCGATGAGTCGATCTGTTGGAATTACCCCTATGGGACCTTTAGAGCCACCCGTAGACGCGCGGATGGTCGTCGCTGTTTACTGGTAGTCCAGGGATGGACAGATCCAAAACTTCAAGACTGCCGAGGCGTCAGGAACAGATGTCCTCCATGACGTATACCCAAACCCCAGCCAGACGATAGCGTGGCAGGAGTCGCCTTGGTCTTGTTGCTCAGCTTGCCCCGAGCAGAATTTTGAATTTTTTCTAATTAATATCGCAGAAAATAAAATTAATTGTCCGGATTTTCTCAGTGAAATCCCACTAAGAGCCCCTGTTAAAAAACTACGCAAAATATATTACTCCATGTTCCAACATGTCATAATAATTTTAGAAGTAATAGTTTTATACCAAAAGCTTTAAGGTTATTTAATAAGTATTCTGAAAACAACGATTTAGATTTATTCTGTAATAGAACTTTGAGCACTAAATCTACTCTTCAATAGATTTTATAAATAGTGTGTCTGAGTAAAGATTTGTAGGGAATGTATTATGCATATGGAAGTATTCTATTGGCATATAAGTTTTAATATAGTGATCCTACATCTACTATTCTAAATGTAAACTCATCAAATAAAATAACATAGATCTGTTAGTAAAAGTTATTTCAGCAATTTTAGATCTTTGTCATTACTACCATTCTTAGCAAAACTTTTTTTTGAAAAAGTAATAAACTCATTTGTCGCTAAACAAGTTATTTCATAAGAGTCGGTATAGTTTCTCTATAGGTAAAAGTACTTTTAACGAAGGCATTGCACTTATCAAACATGAAGCTTGTAGGTAGGATGCACTAGGTGTTTTTATGACCTATTAAAGGCAGTAGTCCATTGCGTAAATCGTTATGTTTCATCGTAATCAGAAGCAAGTTACGAGTATTACTCAACACTGGTGCACAGCAAATACTCGTAACTTGCTTCGGATTGCCAAAAAATACGAATATGCTTTAATTTTTTTAATGAAATGTAAAGCCTGCTTATGTTACTCGTAAATCTATACAAATAAATAAAATTGAAGTTTCTGTTTGTAAAGCTAAAATAACAGCTTTTTGCTAAATGCATATATAAAGTATAAACGATACATATAACAAAAAAAATGTTTAACAAAATCTGTGTGTCCGTCTGTCTGTTTGTTACGGCTAATTTCCGAAAACGCTGGACCGATTTAGACGGGACTTTCCCTGGCCATTTTTATTTTAGAAAAATAATTAGGCTTCCGTGCAAAAAAAAAAAAAAAAATAAAACCCATGAAATCCAATCGTTATAAATTCCACGCGTACGAAGTAAGGAACAAATAGTAAAATATAAAAACTTTTTTGGAACTTTATGTGTAAAAAAAATAATTTCTTATATTTACGCGAACACTACACATTGAATAAAACTACTTTTACGGATTTTATCGCGTTTAATTTCACTCAGTTTCACGTCTGATCTGAAACACCAACGCTTCGGGATGACTGCAGTTCGTAATCATATCTTAGACGGCCCCCGTTATTACATCAGATTTGATAGAACACAAAAATCAATCGAATCGAAAGAAGATCGATTCCTGCCAAGGATAATACGTGAAATTAAAAAACGTCCCAATTTCAATAGAGATGGAGGCTGGATACTGCCACCTTTTATTATAAGATGACAAACGAGCACACAGTCCACCTGATGGTAAGTGGTTGCTCTGGCCCATAGATATTCTACATTTATCCTCGATTACGAATCAAAATGCAGATGTGTTGTCATCCGTGAGGACAGATGAAATGCCTCGTTTCTAGTAAAAAGGGTCTCCGGTTCTCTACACTCACCATACGAAACACAGCAGCATTAAGCTAATATTTGTCGCTGGTATTCTGTGAGAGCGTGGTCCTTCCCCGGTTGAGCCAACCTATTCGTGCTACCACTATACTACTAATATAACTGCAGCATGGCTCTACCACGTAAAAATCCTGCTTGGGATCCCGTAATTAATGAAATTAAAACTAAGCATAAGCATACCACTACAAGACTTCAAGACAGTAAGTTCATTCTGCGTAGATCGGACCAAATGTAATAATTAAAAAGCTAAAGGTACTCCGGGTTAACTCTGATATTGGGACGTCAATCACCTTAGTTTCCCTTGAGCATGAGTGCTGGAAAGCACCCGAAACGTCAAATAAACTAAATGCGATAAAATCAGTAAAATAATTTATGTGTAGAATTTTATTATTTATACAAGCAATAGCAGGTATTCTGTCTTCAGAAAAATAAGTGGTCCAAGAATCAACCCAGCAAACAGTACAGATGTCTACCTCAGAAAAACATTATCATGATATAAGTAATTTTGATTTCATGACTCCAAACTAATTTAAGTTTTAACGCAGCATTTATAGTACCACTTATAATAAACGTAATCGAAATTCTTTCGCAAAAGACGCGCATAGTGTAGTATGTATTTAAATAATAAGTAAAGTACATTCTGCTCCTAAAAGACGCGATTGGTTGTTAGGTCACTACATAGAGTAAGCCAGCTGGCAAATCTGAATACATTAAGTGTCCTTGTGCAATATGTAGGACAATATTACAGATTGACTTCCATTCTAACACTTCTCTAATTATTAATTAAACTCACTACTATAAAAGCTGTTAACTATTGCAGTTTTGGTTACATGAGACTGTAACTGTATCGCATGGTATAATTTCATCATTTTACAAAGATACTTTTTCCTGTTGTATTGGCTATGATTTGGCCGTTACAGAGATTACTGTCTACTAAGAGAGAGGTTCACGTCGAACAGTGGAAAGACAACGTGATGATAAGCGTGGAGATAAACGAGGATTATAAATGATGCACCCAAAAAGCTTTACTACGTAAATAAAGAGATTAAAACAAGTGCGCTGTATGTATGTAACTAAAAACAAACATAAAGAAAATAAACGTTCAAAACGAGAGTTCGTGGTCACCATTTAACTACAGAAGTAATTATTAGAATAATTAGTAATTACAGCCTGCCGAAAGTCCAATGATAAACTTAGACCTCCCTATGTATTGCCTTATTATAGAGTAGTCAATACAAAAGTTAAATAAAGGAAAAACTAAAATAAAGAATCTTGTTTACAGTCATAAAAATATTGTGAAAGGTATACTGACCGGTTTATCTCTCTGAGCGAAAGATTCCGCGATAAGCCGCGCGACGTCCTGATGCTGCATGCCTTCCACTCGATGCCCATCCACAGCCAATATAAGTTGGCCCACCTCCAATCCGCCAGCTTCGTAAGCCGCACCATGCTCCTGAAAATGACAGTGCCTTTAAGTTTTTATTTCATTCAAGGCGAAAAACATTGTTTCTATTAAAAATGTAGTTGAAAACAAATATAATGAAATGGATTAAGTTGGAATTAATGCTCTAAATGATCTTTTATGTAAATTTGACATTAATTTTGTCTTTTCTTATGAATATTTTATTTTTGGTTAGCTTTGGAGGACATCATGCATATTTCAACAGTTACTTATAAGATTACAATAAGTGGTATATTTAGCTATTTTTAATGGTATTCAATTATGAAATAATGATAAACAAAGAATAGTCCCATATTTTTTTTGTATTTATATTACCGGTAAAAAATAACGTCTCTACCAGTACGTTTTCCATAATTTACATTTTAAACCCACATGTATATTGATTATTCTCGGCAGCGGATGTTTTGTATTGGCGCCACCTTCAATGGCGATTCCAAGTATAGGTTTGGTCTTCTTAACGGTGATGTGCAGGTTGCCATGGTGGTCAGGTACTACTCTCGCTGCCCGATTCTCGTCGAGTTGCGTCTCACCGTGCTGGAGGCGTTGCATCGATTGGTGCCGTCGAATGCCTCCTCGCTCGTCCAGCAGTGCTCCACCTTCTTCCTTCATGTCAAAGCTTCGGGACAACTTATGTGCCAACTCCTGTAATTATTTAACGGAATTCAAAATGCTGATTTTCATATAAACACAAACGAAAATTGTCGTTTTAAGATGTGAAGTGATTCTTTAATTGTAAATTACTCCTTGGTAAATAATGGAAGGGAATATGAATTTCTAGGGCCTAATCACTATTAAAACCACATATATACTAAGAACTGTAGAGCTACAAATCTAAGTACAGCAATATTTTATTTTAGCTTCTAATAACAGTTGAGTGCTCTAAGAGAGGACAGTGTAGCTGGGTAGTAGCGAGCAGTGTATCGGATCGTAATAATTCGACGGGGACTAGGACACGGCCGCCGGCGCAGCTCGTACAACCTTGTGCCTCTCAGTTACGATTATGTAAGTGATCTGTATACTCAAATGTGTCGAGAAGCTGTCAGTGAGATGTGAGCTGGAGGCTTCAAATCATGCGTATCGATCACTCGGTGGCGTGGTACAAAGTTATTCGATACAAGTGTATAAAATGTCATGTGGAGCCGTAAACCTAATATTTTGAACAACCTGTACAGGGATATACTTACATTTAACTGAATAGAATATACGACGCAAAATAAATTTTACAAACGCAAACATAATGCTACAATCCGACACATATAATATAAACAAAATAAATACACGTTCCTACATTAATTGAAGTTTGATGCGTTTACGCCAACATGCACTAATTGTAAAAATACCCTACAGTTGATTTCTTATATTTACGCGAACACTACACATTGAAATACTAATTTTTACGGAATTTATCGCGTATATTTAACTTTTTTACCCGACGTTTCGAGAGCTTTACAGCACCCATGGTCACGGGAAGGACTGAGATGTTCAACGTCCAGCTGTCATAGTTAACCGCGGTTACCATAGATTAAAATTTAACTTTTGTTCCGATCTACACAGTATGAACTTATGGTATCATGGAGTCTTGCAGTTGTATGCTTGGGTTGGGATTTAATTTTATTTATTATAGGATCCCAAGCAGATGGTAGCACCCAGCCATCTTCTCTATTGAAATTAGGATGTTTTTTGATTTCAATAGCCTCGCGAATCATCCTTGGAAGGAATCGGTGTTCTTTAGCGAGGATTTGTGGTCTATCAAATCTGATGTAGTGACGGGGGCGATCCTGTACATGTTAACAAAAGTTAAATTTTAATCTATGGTAACCGCGGTTAACTATGACAGCTGGACGTTGAACATCTCAGTCCTTCCCGTGACCATGGGTGCTGTAAAGCTCTCGAAACGTCGGGTAAAAAAGTTAAATATACGCGATAAATTCCGTAAAAATTAGTATTTCAATACCCTACAGTTATCACTTCCCAAAATATGCATTCAAGTCTTTTGTGATAATTTCGTGACTAGTACAAGAGAAATTAAAACTAAAGAAATGTTCTATTACATCGAAAGAATATTACTTAATCTTACTATATCCATCATGCAACACGATAGCTCGATCCAATCAAGATATTTCGTATCTACCAACTAATGATGTAACCAGAATGACAAAGTTTTGACAAGTGCTATCTACTCTTGTATTAAATGAAAGAAGAATTTCTGAAAAAAAAATGTTAAGCTGTTCAAAATAAAACATCAAAATAAAGTGCAACCGCAATTGAAGTGGAGAAAATACAATAATTAAAAAGACTATACGCATAATCATAAAGCAATTTTATCGATTGAAGCGATTTCCAATTAGAAATAAGAGAAAATATTTAAAATGTTTTTGTTAACATCGTGCAAAAATAAGAATCGTCAATGTGCTAGGACAGTTCGTTCGTTCCGTCGGCTTGAGGCCGGGCCACTTACTAGAGGTCTTCCCCAGTACCACGACTTTACTTTCTGCGTCCAGCCACCGAGTGATGAGCGCAGGCCCTCGAGATAGCCGCACTGAAACATCACTCTCACTCAGCACCAGACCAACTTCGATACTACGAGTAGTCAAGCGCCCAGCGACGCACTCTCCTAACTCGAATAACGGATTCAAACTTTATCCTGATACAAGCCAATACCTATTATATAAAATGGAAAATATCAAAGATTTGAATTTTAACTATTGGAATAACTTTGAACTTGCTCTTTTCCATATTGAAGATTTTCAGTTTGATATAATTAGATATTATGGGTTTGAAAAATAGCAATAACTATAACTAGCTAAAACTCTTCTCGAGTAGTTGCTAAGCTTTTCTTAAATGACACTAATTTATACTTACTGTACTGAGCTTAAAACTATTATAAAATTACTATTCTAGTATGAACAAAAGGAATTATTAGAAGTTATTGAAATTAATGGAATATTAAATTATTTATTTCTCTCCATACATACCTGATCCTATAAAATATAAGTAGGCATGTAACAAAGAAAAGAATAATAGACAGGTTGTTGAAAATTCTGTAATATATATATATATATATATATATATATATATATATATATATATATATAGTATTTAGCTGTTTCTGATAGCATTTATTTGTTTAATACTTAATTGACACAGGAGCTGAAAATCCAACTTATGTCATGTGGCTACCGCAGTCCATAAACATTTGGAACCAACTTACAGTAAAGAAGGTTACAGATGCATTGTCACTTCTGAGGACTTGCTGCTATGCCTCACAGCCTGTTACTAGGCTGCACTAAAAGTATCGGGAATGGAATATTTCCATTGTTCCTGTCATATTAAAATCTTTTTAATTGAAAACTCCTTGGTTTTAAAAATCGAATGCCATTTATTTATTTAAAAAAAAAGATTCTCGATCTTGTTGTTTTGTCAAACTTGTTTAGTCGTTGAGAAAATGGAATTGAGAAAATTCAAGAGCGGTATTTATGACTTTCGAAGTAGTTTAACACAAAAACAGTGTGTTGACCGGATGATTTTTGCATTTGGTGATGAAGCCCCATCCAAAACCACAATTTATCGCTGGTTTGCTGAATTTCAACGTGGACGTGTCAAGCTCAGTGATGATCCCCGTCAAGGTCGTCCAAAAACTGCAGTCACCCAAGAAAACGTTGATGCTGTGCGTAAGCTGATTGAGGAATATCGACATGTGACATACCGCGAAATTCAGGCAACTTTAGACATTGGGATAAGTCAAATACAAATAATCTCGCATGAACAATTAGGTGTAAAAAAGTTGTTTTCCCGATGGATACCGCATTAGCTCTGTGAAGAGCAAAAAGCGGCTCCCGTTACTTGGTGCGTCAGAACTCTCAAAAGATTCCACGCAGGATCCTCAAATGCTGTATACAATATTGTATTAGGTGACGAATTCTGGATATACGCGTACGAACCCGAAACAAAAAACCAGTCACGAGTTTGGGTGTTCGAAAATGAGTTAAAGACAACAAAAATTGTTCGTTCACGGAGTGTTGCAAAAAAAAATGGTGGCCAGGTTTGGCTCCAAAACCGGCCATGTTACGACTATTCCTCTTGAGAGACAAAGAACGGTTAATGCAGAATGGTATGCTAGCATTTGTTTGCCACAGGTCGTTTCTGAACTCCGTAAAAAGAACTGCAACCGCCGCATCATCCTCCATCACGACAATGCGAGTTCTCACACCGCACACAGAACAAAAGAGTTTTTAGAGCAAGAGAACATCGAATTATTGGACCATCCGCCGTACAGCCCCGACCTAAGCCCTAATGATTTCTATACTTTCCCTAAAATAAAGAATAAATTGCGTGGACAGAGATTTTCATCACCTGAAGAAGCCTGTTTGGCCATTTTGGAGACCCCAACTTCCGAATGGAATGGTTGCTTCAATGATTGGTTCCATCGTATGGAAAAATGTGTCAAATTTCGCGGAGAATACTTCGAAAAGCAATAAATACACTTTTAAATAGTAATGTTGTGTCACTTCCTTGATTCCCGAAATTATCAGTGCCGCCCTCGTATTGTACTGGCTCTGTGTACCAGACTAAGTATAACATGGCAGTGCAGAGTGCACGCACTGCTATTTGCCGGCAGAAATAGTTAAAAGGATAGTACTTATCCACACGGACTCCGAGGCAAAAATAGAGTCCTGCCACCTAGATATGCGGGCTTATTTTTCAAAGAGTAGCCTTTTAAACTTAAGTTCAGATACATACATAATGATGTACCGTTATTGCAGGTTTTGTAGTAGTAAATAAGGCTTCCACTTTTATTTGAAATTATCGCAAATTGAATGTGATTTGGGGACGTTTTTGCCTACCGATCGACCCTTACGAATAATTATATAGTGAATTGTATTGAACTACAAGATACAATGGGACCAACATGTAAAAATAACGAAATTGCCCCAATTCCATTAATGCTAAAATTTAGCATTAATGGAATTGGGGCAGTATTTTTTTTAAATAATTGAGTGAAAAAGCCGTGGTAGCTCAGGGTCTAAGCGCTCGCAAATTTCACAATAACAATAACAAAAAATTACAATAACAAAGTGCAGTATTGTTTGCGCGTGCGTATCAGCTATATTAGTTATAGCAAGAATAGGTCGACTCGACTGGGATAGTACCACGCTCTCAAAGAATACTAGCGTAAAATAGCATCTTAAAGCTGTTATTTTTCGCATGGTGAGTGTAGAGAACCGGGGGCCCTTTTTACTAGAAATGAAAAATTCCATCTTAGCCCTTAGGGGTGGCAATGAATGTGCACTTTGATTCTCTATCGAGGATAATAGTAGATGTCTATGGACTACAGCATCCACTTACCATCACGTGGATTGTGTACTCGTTTGTAACCCTTACTCGATATAATAAAAAATTTTGATTTTTTTTTTATTGAAAACCTAATATTAATTCTGAAGGCTGATAAGCAATGGAGAAAGAAGGAGGATGGAGCGCTCACACTAATGTTATACTTTCGAATTTAAAACTTTTTGTAACTCGTATGTCGATAGGTATACAATAAGTAATATAATGTGTATATAGCAAAAAAAAACGTAGATTTGATGTAGGGTATACGTCGTGCAGGGGTGGCGTAAGAAAATCTACTGCCTCATGACGTCCAGTAGGTGTCGTAAGAGACTATAGAGGGAGAATGAAACAGGAGGTAGGCGGCAGCATCATAGGGAGTGGCAACTGGGGCAAAAAACCCACCTGTGAGACAATTTGGCTGTTGATATTTAGTAGGCAGTAACATGATTTGAGTCCATGTTGTTTTTTGTATGCTGTATTTTTACTTTAACATTAAACCTAAAGCTTTAACCTTAACTTTAAGGTAAAAGGTCTACGCTAATAAGTTGCGTGTCCTGGTTACGAATTCTTTTTCTATTTTCTTTTAGCAGACTTTAAATAAAGAGAAGGAGCTTTCGTCAATTGTGAAATAAACGAAACTAGGGCCGATGCAGATGCAAAGGTAAAACCTTTTGCTAGCATCATAAATGGAGCGGGGCAAAAATCTAAAGTCATAACTATCTTTATTTCAACAAAAGATCCAATCGCATTACAATTGTTTTAAATTAATTCTTTTCTCAATAATTATTACTAAAGCGCGCGCTTTTGCTTTACATGTATTTTCTCATATACAACTTAGTTTTTGGTTATGTTTTAATATCTTTTAGACAAATTCAAATTTTTATTGTTTACAAACCTTATCTGCGTTGTACTACAAATATTACCGAAAAAATTATGTAAATTGGCCTACGGATTACGGAGGAGATAGATTTCAAAGAATCGTATTCTTTCGCCATGGGAGCTCCACTCGTATTATTCTTTTTATTAAATAAGTTATACTGTAGAGTTGAAAAAAATTCAACCCCTCAGTTTGGGAAACTTGTGAATGAAGTTTATACATTATATACTCCATCCACAAATTTCGCAACCTGAGCGGTGGAATTTTTTCTCCATATTTACCTCTGTATTATAAGGTATTTAAGGAAAAAAATATATTTGTGTAACCATTTTGTGCGGGACAAGTGAAAATAAATAGACTTATACCTAAATAAGACGAACATTTTTATATTATAGTAGTTTAGAGTTTGTACTTAAATAGGATATAAGCGTTTATATTGTGTTAATAAAGACTATAGTTTAAAGTTACACATAAAATAGGATATAAGCGTTTATGTTGTGATTATAGTTTAAAGTTACACATAAGAGAAGATATAAGCATTTTATATTAAGAAAACTAATAGTGTAAAGCTTATATTCATGTATTAGAATTAGTAATTCACTTTGTATAATAATATAACTAGCTTAAGGTAAACAATGTAACTCACCCGCTCTGTCGCGCCTCGCGCTGATTGGTCGACGCCGTCACACGGTACGCACGCCGTACTACTCGACCCGGCCGAGGTAGTATAAAAGAGGGGCGATTTTCGTCGTTCGACACATTCCGCCTGTGGCATCGCTTCCGAGCGGTTGCATCCAGGTAGTCCGCGCTTTCGTTCCTGTACGGTAGTGCTCCCCGCTCTCGCGCCCCCGCTGTCCCGCTCGCGCTGTACAGCGCTGACGCAGTGCTCAGTCCGCCGGCGGCACCGCTCTCGGACGGTCGCCTCCTGGTGGTCCGCGCTCCCGTACAGTACGGTAGTGCTGTCGCGCTCTCACGCGCCTCCGCTGTCCTGCTCACGCGGAACAGCGTCGAGGCTGCCGGTGAGTCACTTTTGTGCTACAGCTCTTACCCCCCTGTCTTCGGGCAGGGAGGTCTGACTGACCTCCGCTTTCATTTTTTTTTATTTTTCATTTTCATTTTCTATTTTCATTTTCTTTTTCATTTTCATTATAATTTTTCATTATAATTTTTCAAATTTTTCAAATTTTTTTTTTTTTTTTTTTTTTTTTTTTTTTTTTTTTTTTTTTTTTTTTTGTACTTCTACTATTGCGTGCATAGTGTGTTGTAGTACGTCTCGCGTTCTAGTCCCTGTTCTACCGAGAGCAGGGACCCGACCTCCTCTTTACTAGATTATCTTATCT